GTTTACGAAACGGCCCTCAGTATCGTAATGTCATATCAGTGCATTGTCGCAAATAGCTATCAGTTGCTCGCTACATCAAAGAAGTTCAAGGTAAGGCCCGTAATTGAAAGATAAACCTGAGGAAAATATTCCTGAATTCCCCGTGATTTGTACGTTAGATTGAAAAACTCAAAGCCTCGAGTAATGATGAATATTCAAATCAGCCATCTAACCATTGTCTTATTCTATACATATCTTCGTCGCTAAGTGGTTGAAATAATGATGATGCGACGTTAAGCTTTACCTCACTCACTCATTAACATATCTACATGTATCAATCATATTTAGCCATGTACTCCCCGTGAAGATCCGGATCAGAATTGATCTTCAGCTACTCATGCTTGGCTCAAGAGGCGACTAGCGGGATTGGCTGGTCAAGCTCCCTGACTTGGTTGATGCATGTCGTTGTATTCCAAATGCTGAGATGGATGCTCGTGATGTCAATCACTTGATCATCTGTCTCAGATTCAATTATTTACAGACCGCCGACATATAGCTGACATATTGGTAAGTGCGACGCTAAACAAAAAACAAAAAATCCATATACAATGTAACCTCGTTAATTCGGACGGTCGCGTTCCAACACGAATTAACACATTTCCTGGTTAACGAATCATGATTGCGGATCAATATAATTTAGGTTTCATTGTATATAATGTATAATTATTATTATTTATTATCTGTCTGATCAAATATTTTCTTGGTCCATTTTATCACACACATATATCATATCGGCTGACGTTTTCTGATTGATAATGCAATATTATTCTTCAGAACAAAAATACAAATGCGATATTTATTCCTCAACTGATGAGAAAAACGTGAGGACCAAATAGTCACTATTCTTTGATATCAATAAATCAATGCAGAATAGGAAGTGATTTGAAATTATACGTTGATCCTTTCCATGCCATGTGTTAACGACTGACGTACATATAACCACGAGTACTCGACAGTCCCATGTCTCATTTCCTCAGGAGGTATCTCACCGGGTTGCACTAATGAGAAAAAACTGTTACATTCCTCGAGAGCCATTCACGTTGAAGTGTGCGGGACCGTCATTCAGAGGTCGACGTAAAGCTGCACTAATCCTAGTTTATCCGATTGATGTTGCTGCCAAGTAATTAATACTGGTAAAATTACAGGTAATATGAACGCTGCCGTTTCCCATTCGGCGCCTGACCTCGAAATGAATGAGCGAGTGAATGTTGTTTAACGCCATGGACAGCGATATTACAGCTGTATCACGGCGGTCTGTAAATGATGGTTTAGACCAGGCAGACCAGTGACTGAAAACATGGGCAAGGATCCGCGACATCAGGTTGCGAGGACACCACCAACAATGCCTCAGAGCATGAGCATCCGACACTAGGTTCCTACCAAACACATGGCACACTGTGAGGTGAGGTGAGGTGAGGTGAGGTGAGGTGAGGTGAGGTGAGGTGAGGTGAGGTGAGGTGAGGTGAGGTGAGGTGAGGGAGTGAGTGAGTGAGTGAGTGAGTGAGTGAGTATGGTTTAACACCGCTTTTAGCAATATTCCAGCAATATCACGGCGGGGGACACCAGAAATGGGCTTCACACATTGTACCCATGTCGGGAATCGAACCCGGGTCTTCGGCGTGACGAGCGAACGCTTTAACCACTAGGCTACCCGACCGAAATAGGGTTTAACGTCGCGTCCAAGATTATTGCACTTATATAGCGACGTGCATGCACACGTGTGTGTGTGTGTGTGTGTGTGTGTGTGTGTGTGTGTGTGTGTGTGTGTGTGTGTGTGTGTGTGTGTGTGTGTGTGTGTGTGTGTGTGTGTGTGTGTGTGTGTGCTTGTACTAGTCCGGACTGATGCCGATTTTTAGTGCTAGCTCACTGAGATATCCTGCCGCAGTTTATCATGAATATCCAACTCAGACACAGTATACTGACTCCGAGCCGACCAGTCCTTGTTTAAGACCCTTAATGCCGAGCGCCAGACAGGGTAACAACAAGTACCATCTTTTAACGTCTTTTGGTATGACGCGGCTGGGGATCGAACCCCGGACACAGCTGCGGATAACGTTTTTCCAAAAAATTCCCACGGGAATGGGATAAAACTTCTACTAAGAATGATTTCATTAATTCTGACATTCATAATTTGTGGTTGTGCTATTTATGTTGCTGTCACTGTGTCGAGTGAAAGAGTTAAAATCAGACTTCAAATCATCAGTATTAAAGCACTGAAGAGACTCGTCAATTGAAATATACACCTTGAAAAAAATATGAATCACGTACTTATGATATATTTTCCATATGAAATGGTCACTTTATAAAATCGTATGTATAAGTTTCTGACAAAGTACATTTACATTTGTTTACGTTTGTTTGTTTGTTGTTTAACGCCGCACTCAGCAATATTCCAGCTATATGACGGCGGTCTGTAAATAATCGAGTCTAGACTTAACAGACAATCCAGTGATTGACATCAAGAGCATCGATCCACGCAATCGGGATACGATGACATGCATCAACCAAGTCAGCAAGCCTGACCACCGGATCTCGTTAGTCGCCTCTCACGACAAGCATGGGTGGCTGAAGACCTATTCTACCCCGGATCTTCACGAGTCTGTATTTTGTTTACGAACCGAAATACCCATATTGAAATACAGAAGCAAACATCGATTTCCCTGTAATGTTATGAAGCCGTTCCCTGGCAGTAGTCATATTTGACAACCTTTGTGCTGTTTCCTCTGGTTCTTGTTATCATGTGATATAACCCAGAACGTGTGACCATCTGGCGTAACAAACAGTGGTACATCTGGTACATTTCAGAAGGTATCGAGACATCGGATATATTTATATAAATAAGCCCAAAGTCATATGTAGATATTTCCAAAAGATACTAAGAAATTCGGGACATATAAAAAGAAAATACAGACGATATGCCACTAAGGTGCTTAACCTTTCTCCAGGGGTATATATCGACAGTTTTTCACGTAAAATGTAACTGAAAGACACCTACAAACCTCACTGTATAGATTACAATACCGAGAATTACGAAACGTATATTTCCAGTTGAACAAATAAATCTGCAAGTAAAACGTAAATGGGTTTATTCCAAGTCAACTCTGGCAACCAATGACCATGCGAACAAAAGCCCCGCGTTGCGATCAATACCAGTACAAGACTGTGCCATGTGTTGGACGGGGAGGTGAGTCACCTCTGAATCGCTGCGGGGGTCCAGCATGACAACTCGCGCCTTTGGGTCCAGCATTGATTGATGCTCTGGCATGTCATGACTCAATACAGCCATGATGGGAATCAATCACCACATGAAACGGCTTAAATATATATCTGTAGATATTCCGTGATATAGCTGATTTCGTGTATTGTTCGTTACTCTCAAATTAACCATAAAATCATCAACGGAGCGGGTTATTTATGCTGTGGGTTCTTGGGGTTACGACCCGTGAAGAATAGGTCTTCAGCAACCCATGCTTGCCGTAAAGGGGCCATGCTTGTCGTAAGAGGCGACTAACGGGATCGGGTGGTCTGGCTCGCTGACTTGGTTGATGCATGTCATCGTATACCGATTGCGTGGATCGATGCTCATGATGTCAGTCACTGAAGTATCTAGTCAGACTCGTTTCATTACAGACCGCCGTCATATAGCTGAAATATTGCTGAGTTAAACAAAAAACAAAAAACAAACAAAACTCGGGGTCACCGCATTTACATAGCATTTGTATATTGATATTACCAAAGGGATATGTGTACATAAATAGAGATTACTGTCTGAATATTTGTCCTACTTGTTTCGAGGAGTGTCACTAAGGTTTTTGTTAATGCCTCTCTCCAGAGACAGCGACGAATATACATTAACGGTGACACCAGACACCAACATGGTGAAGTCATTGTAAATAAAAGCAATCCTTTCCATGTTCACAAGATATATCTGACAAAAGCAGAGTCGATTATACGATTCCGACTTTATAATGAGTATGTGTTTATGAATCACTTTAATGATGATGCCAGAGGTGACCGTATCCTGCCCCACCGAGGGCACCCGTTATGAACACATGCAAAGGCAAGTCAATTTTTCACCTGAACACAACCCGGGAACATATGGTACAAGTCAAACACGGGACCAGCATCAGACATCATTATTGTCACTGATACGTTTCGAAATGGCTACCATAAAACATTTCGAGAGCTTCACTAAGGGGATTGATAGTTGTAAAACACACGATTGTCATAATTTCTAAACCACTGATTAGCAAATGATGTTGTGAAGATGTGTATTCTGTGCAGTGAACCGTGTACATTTGTTTGCGTGTTGTTTAACGAGGAAATACACAGACACACCTGTGATTGGTATGATTAACGATCCATGCTGTCAATATACGAAGCCATGCTTCAACCAAGTCAGCGAGACTGATCGCCCGATCCCGTTAGTCGCCTCGTCCGACAAGCGTGGGATGCTGAAGACCTTACGGGCAACATGTTATTTGACAAAAGAGAAAATTATCCTCTATCTATCAATCATGATATTTAGAAAATAATGGAAATATATATCACTAGGAATTTATAACAACAGTGTAGATGAGAGTGTAGCGTGTTTGCATATTGTATATTTCGTAACATTTTGAAAATGTAATATAGTTTAGTTGGAATGGGCACTTCATCCGATGTTAGAATAATGTTATGGAACTGTCCCATGTGTTATAACAAATAAACAAAGTAACGTACTAGTAGACAGTTTATGAAGTAACCAGCATTCTTCTTCGTTACAAAAACACATTAGCTGAACGCTGAAGGTACACCAAAACAAGAAGCAGAAGGATGTGATAGCTGATGTCCCTGTATTCCTGCTCTTGTCCAGACTAATAAGGGTAATTAAGTATTGAAAGGATGTTTACAACAAAGACAAGAACGATATATTGGGGAAAAAATATCGATTTTGGTCGAGATAGTAATTGGCTCCTTACCTTGATTGAGTTGGCATTTAGCAGCTCGTTCTCTTCAGTGCATGCGGTTCTGAAAAACAAGACGCAAGCCATTAGCTACCTGCCAGGAGGGGAAAAGGGTATATGCTGTCAAGTGTGTAATGCGTATAAAATTGTAATCCAAAGCATGGTATACTGTAGACTATCTTCTTGTCTGAAATGGAAAAATAATTACAAAAACTTTTGACTTATCTTCATGCAATATAATAATAAGAAGCCCAGAGACTCTCTTCATTTTCAGAGGCTGAAACTGCAGTAATCTAGACTTGCCAACTATTATGGACTTGCATGGGCTGTATTGGGCATATTTGTATCACGGTCTGCATGACAGTATAGAAAGGACATATTGTTGGAGCAGTACTCATTAAATGGCAAAGAATTTAATATTGGTATACATTCTTAGATTAAATAATTATGCTAGATTGATTAAACTGTGTATGACAACGGTACACTGTTCATCGTCGCAGTCATCAATGATTCTTGTTGACATTTTGGTTTCAAACGTATTCTTAAAAAAGACACCTTCTTGATATGGGAGCATCTGTCAAGATAGCGGAAGATCGGTGGTTCGATCCCCTGGTCGCATCATACCAAAAGATGTTAAACAATGATACTTGTCTGGATAGGTTCGGTATAACGGGGATAAAACAACGACTGGTCGGCTCAGAGTCAGTATAATGTGTCGGGTATCCATGTTAAACCGCGGCATGGTGACCAACATACGCCCCGACTGGTACAAGCAGCTACGGAAAAGCAAAAATCTTGAACGCGACGTTAAACCCCATTTCACCTCACCTCGCCTAGTCTTAAATAACAACATGGATGATGAATATGTGATATGTGTTTGAGGTATCCAATAAGTTGATGGTAATAATGTATTACTATGTATCATGTATTGAATACATTATACATGAAAAGGTTGCGGATTCTAACGCATCGAAGTATGATGAGCCTCTCTCGCGCAGCATCCTTTGATGCTTGGACCTGATATATTGGTACCACATGCTAGACGGAAACTTTGTAAGCTCCTACAAGACATATGACAGAAATTCCACCAATATCCGGAAAACACAATTCCCCCTATATGACTCAAATATATTCACTCTTCCTATCCACCAAAAAGTATATTAGTCCAAGCTAGGCGCCACCGGGATTTGGGGGGTTGCACATGGCAAGATGAAGCTTTATAAATCCTCTTAGACACAACCTAATTATGTTAGTTGTCACATTCACGACATAACAAACATGTCGTAGAAAACTCTACAAATATCCTGATTTTCTCAGTTTACCTATTAGATCGATAAGCGGTCGGTACACCCTTTGACAAAGGGCATAATGAGAAGCACTATTTGCCTAGCGCTTTAGAGCAAGCCTCCATTCGTTGCTTTCATCGTGAGGCATGAAGCATAGGCACAAGAGTTTGACCAGTTGAAAAAGGTTGTCTCTACTTGCAAACTACATCCATTTTAGATGTTGAACTGTAGGGCCAGGCACTCTTGATTTGTAATCATGTGCAACACAAGTGTGTCTTCAATGGGGTCGGGATCAATGGAGGAGAGACCCCCTTGTTACCTTGTCTGGCAGGAAGACCCAAGGCAGACATTGATTCGTAAACTTTGATTGTCTTAAACCTCGCAGTTGGATGTTCAACATATCCATAAACTTGGTCTAAAAAATCGCTCGATGGCTGAACTAGGGGCCACTGCTGGGATAAAACCTTCCATCGTGTTCTTGCATTCTTCAGATGGTTGGTCGTTTCATGCATGTATAGACCCGTGAATATTCCGGGGTAGAATAGGTCTTCAGCAACCCATGCTTGCCGTAAAAGGTGACTATGCTTGTCGTAAAAGGCGACTAACGGGATCGGGTGGTCAGGCTCGCTGACTTGGTTGATGCATGTCATTGATCCCAATTGCGTGGATCGATGCACATGATGTCATACACTGGATTGTCTGGAATATAGCTGGAATATTGCTGAGTGCGGCGTTAAACAACACACCAACCAACCAAATCATACATGTATAAACCATGGTCTTCCAGTAGGACGATGACGGAGCCATAAGCCACAATGCAACTGTAGAGATAAAAACGTTCATCTTGGGCATGCGTTCAGATAGTTGGTCTTTAAACGATTGCATTATTCTCAGCTGATGGTAGACCCATGGGACAATGCGATACTGCAGAGATGAAACCCATTACATCGGATCGCTTTTGTGTCTTAAACATTTTGCCTCGAGCCTCTTGAAGCACATTCAGTAAAGTCAAATAAAACGTGAATTTAAAAATCCCAAATGTTAAAAATACAACATACACATGTAACAGAACCAGAACGTAAATCGGGTACGACTATTTTCATAGTATCAGATGACTCAGATGACTCTCATTGGTGTTTATTATGAGGTAAAAATGTAACTACGAAACGTACGTTTCTTGTGTAACATTGTTTCAAGACATCAATGGGACAAACAAGCATGCTATCAGATTCGCAAGAAAAATATATGGTAAACGAAACTAATATATATGGATGCATCCTATATCATATATACAAATATGGCTGAGATACTGCCGATGTGACGTAAAGTTTTAACTCACTCATATGTACTAAATAAAATAATGTGAGAGAATGAGTACTGTTTTACGCCGCTTAAAGCAATATTCCAGCAAATTCAAGACGGGGACACCAGAAATGGGCTCCTGTGAGTTCTTTAACCATTAGGCTACCATACACACCCAAAATACGATCATGACATCGTTATTTAACAGAGTGACTGAGTATGAGTTAACGCCGCTTTTAGTAATATCCCAGCAATATCACGGTGGGGGCACTAGAAATAGGCTTCAGACACTGTTCCCATGTGGGGAATCGAACCCGGGCCTTCGACGTGACGAGCAATCGCTTTAACCACAAGGCTACCCCACCGCCATGGTTTTTAACAGAAAAGGAACTGATGCATGATTTGGAACATGTGACTTAATATATGTTAATATCAATATAATCTGTTCCGAATATCAACAAACCCCTAATTCGCCGTAACGAACAAATCCAAATAGCAAGAAACACTCTACTGTTATTGTGTTGTTATATTTGCGTGACACCGTCTCAACACATTATTAAAAAACCCAATATGAACATATGCCGTGGGGTTTAAATGATCAATACATCCGTGCTTCAGAGTTTGCTATACAACACTAATTTCTACATGCGAACAAAAGAAACACCTGTCATATTGCCAAGGTCACCGCAACGCCCAAGCCATCGGAATATCCATACATTGACACATACAATGAAAGATAATGATGTTTACTGATGGCAATACAGAGCGATAATAGCCCCCCTTGACCCAATCTCATAACATTCTGATGTGTTGATGAACAACAATCACCTTATTCACCGACCGTTGACAATAAATCATTTGACCAATCATAATCATCCGGACAAACAATCGCCATATACAATAGAGATGAGGTCAGTGATTGACCAATTACTGGAATCAATTAGTCTCAGCTAATAGAGCTTTTCTGGTTAACTGGCGTATCGATACAGGTCTAAGAAGCGACCATTTTGTGTTCAATAAACCAATGATCGCACATAATCTTAACAGGAAAACCGCAAGGGTTCCCGAATCAATGGTACCTGTTCTTACTACCCAGTAGGTGCTAACTAGGGTCTAGTGTGCATATAGACCATGGGAATGATTGACAGTTATTGACATTATTGCTTACTGAGCAGATGACACCAGGAATGGATTCACAACAATACTCATGCTGGAATCGAACTCAAAGCTTGTCGATCGCGTAATTTCCACAAGGCCAACCCACGGGCCCCTTACTTAACGACTAAGTATGCCGTTGTGTATCTCCGGACAATATTCTTAATTGTCATAGTTTGCGATTTGGGGCAAAATGTTCACTTATGACATTAGTTAGAGAACAAACTATCATATTAAATTATCCATGTTTTTATATACACCGTGACAACAATCCAAGTCGGATTTTATGGTGCTGTTTGAGACCTTATACATAATGTAGACTGAAACGTGCACCCCCGCCAAAAGTGTCAGCATCACATTTATGACTTTGTTGCAGCAACAAAGGCGTCGTCAAGGTAACACGACAGAAGGGATATGATTAAATGTAACCAATTAACTTTATATATAATTTCACCACTGTTTTGCCTCTTACGCCGAATGGAATCTGTTTCGGTAGAAACTGACGAAGTGAGTGAGTTAATGTATATTGTACAACCACTGAACTGTATTGAATGGCTACAATTTCACTGGTTCGTTGTTTGGTGTTTGTTCTTCATCAACTAGTCAAGAAAAGTATCCTCATGTGGTAGAGCGTCCGCCCGAAGAGTCCGGGGTTCGATCCCCGGCCGCGTTATACCAAACAATATTAAAAGATGGTACTTGTTGTTACCCTGCCTTGCGCTCGGCATTAAGGGGCAAAAACAAGGACTCATCGGCTCGGAGTCAGTATACTGTGTCTGAGTGGGGTATTCATATTAAACTGCGGCATGGTATCTAGTGAGCTAGCACTATAAATCGGCATCAGTCCGGACTAGTACAAGCAGCCACAAACACGTGCATACACGTCACCTATCCTCATTTGACTTAAAGAATATTTACGAACAATACAAAATCGTATCAGATAAGTAACGTGATACTGGAAGCATTGCAGTTAATATAGTGGAAGAGATTCAGATAAAGATGAACACCGAGTTAACTATCTTTGATAAGAACCGTGCATCGTGTTCCTGACATATTCTCCTAATATAAACTTAAGAAATAATAGAACACGCGTGAATCATCGTGATACCAGACACCGGGTGTTTGTTCGAAGGATGGAAGGGATTAAAATCATCCGTTTGTAAAGAAGATAAAGGACATATACAGTTTCAGATTGTGCACTAGCCAGACGTGTTTATCAGCTTAATCATTCAGCGTCAAAGGCTAATGGCCTGTTTATGAGGAGAGACACCAAAAAGGTGATGGATATATAGCAGGGTACAGACTAATCAGACCATGTACG